AAAAAGTTCAGCGTGCCCCCTAATTACGATTATTCAATCACTTTCATACGTTCACCAACGTTTATTGAAAAAATTTCAAAATTTATTAATAAGTAGGTATTACAGATTTTATACCATTTTAAATTTGTATTAATTTACAGATTATTACAGCTTTTATGCCATTTTAAATTTTTATTAATTTAACTATGATTTAAAAATAATTAAAAAAGGTTTAAAATACTCTTGGATTTTCAAAATAAATTTTGACACAGTAGTGAATTATAAATTTCACCTCTTTAATTCTTAAATAGGGGTGCAAAACTAACTTTTTCAATTTAAATTCTGCTTACGCAGGACCTGTCCATTCAATGTCATTATAAACTCATATAAGTTTGGTGTGGGTCCCATGTCTTATAACTCAGATATTGGTATACCCAAAATCCACCAGCTGCCAGACTGAAAAAGTTCCTAATTTTTTATGCTTACCTTTTATTTTTAAATGATTTTTAATTTTTATTAAAATATCTATTTTTTATGTTTTTTTTATTTAAAGTTTGAATATGTATATTATTTTTTATTAAAATATATTATTTTAGTTAGAATACCTACTTATTATTTCACTCGATTCATTATTCGTGCCGCATTACTAAATCAAAAAAAAAAAAAATACTCGGGGTTCTAGGGAATGAAATAGTTTACCGTCATCTCCTCTCTTTCATTTATGTAATTAATAGCAAAAAAGTTTAGTACTGCAGCCATTTGTTATAATTTGTAAAGGAAATTATTCTTATAATGCACCTTTGAAAGTGTTTTTTATTTAAATCGAAATTATAACTCAAAAGTTATTTTTATCGCCTACTAATATACCTCACGATATACATTTCTGAATAACCAGCGTTATATCGGCATCGGGTTAAATTTTAAACCAAATACGAAGTTACAGAATCGCTCTAGAGATTTTAACCAGTCGATATGATATAACCCTGGGTTATTTATAACTAAAAAGTTACAGAATAGACCCCTTAGGGGTATATGATAAAAAAAATTTAATTGAAAAAACTACAATTTTTTTTAATGTGACGGTCAGGGCAAAAAGTCCCGAGGCTCATGGAATGCCCTTTTTAGTTTTTTCAATTAAAAAATAAAATTTGTTATCATATACCTTTTAATCCTTTTAAATAATGCGCTATAACAATTATTGTAATCTCAAATATCTCGGAAACGGTTTATTTTATCGAAGTTTGAGAGGTACACCTTTTTTATGGTAGCCGAACTGTTTAATCTATAAATTGCATCAAATGTTACAAAAACCTAACCTCAAAGTTTGTATGGGACAATAAGCTTAAAGCAACCCCCGTTTCTACGTTTCACTCAAACAATTGTAATTATGTGTTAATATGTGTTTTGGTAGTAAGTGACTGTTCGCAAAATATCACCTTTCCAAGTCTACCCTAGTAGAAGTTATATTAAAAAAACTGATATGATAAGTAACACTTTATCACCCTGTAACTTTTAAACATACGTAATTAGGAAAAATATTTATTTAGATTTTGGTCTTATTTTGACTTGCTTAATCTGCTCCTAAATTTATGCCACTAAGTTTAGGGACACCTTGTATATACCAATTGGTTGCTATGCCATAATAATTGTCAATGTTGAAGTTTCTAATTATAAAATAAAATGTCAAAAAGTATGCGTTTTGGTCAAAAAAATCATACAGAAATTGAATCGGCTGTTAACTCTAATTAAAAAAAAAATATTCGTGAAATAGTCTTGCCGAATACCACTCGTAATAAAATTTTCCCTGAAATTTTTTTAAGGTTTATTTATCTAGTTCGGGAGACGTTATAATTCATATATTTTGTATCATAAGTCGATATCATTATATTAAATATATTAAACCTTAATATTCCTTATTTTTACTATTACATACATATTATTATTATTATTCTTACTATATTTTCTATGCACAGATCATAATCATGATTACTATATTGTATATTATTACTGTTTCTCTATTTATTGCGCCATGTAATAGTATTAATAAGAATGAAGGTTTTGGTGTATAAAATTAAATTGTATCTCTGTTTCGACTGTGAGCTGATATATTGTTACTGATGATCATTATTATAAATTTATTTGATATTATATTTGGCTTGATAATACTTATGAATCTGCATTTATTAAACCTTGGAAATAAAACCCTTTAACCTATAAACTTGGAAATATATATATATATTTCTATAAATCTACCGTATTAAACTAGTAAATCTAAATCCCCTAAAGTAACAAAAAGCTAACTGAAACTAATAATCTCAAAACGTTTGATAAAACCACAGACCTACAAACAGGTCTGTGGATAAAACCTATTGTTAAAACTAATATTCAAATACAATGAATATAAAGCTGACAACCATTATTTGTGTGTTTTTATTACTTAATCTAATTTCCTCTCTCTGGCATCCTTATCTAGAAGCGAATTCAAATAACACAACGTAGGTACCTTTCCGACTAGACTAGATGATCACACCGTTTTTGGCCACACTTGACAACATTTCGAAGTTGTTGAGGTTATGTTTAAATTCGCGAGATTCTTAAAATCTCCTTGGGTTACTGCCGTTTACTCGAGTGTGGGGTACCCCACCCCGTGCCCATCACAACATAATCTGTACACCATAGATAATAATAGATAATGCTGTGCACATAAATAAACAGAAAAGCCTGCATCAATGGCAGTTTGTTCTACTAAAAAATGATTTCCAAGGGATTTGGTGAAAGTTCTCAAGCAAATATTGAGGATGCTATTCAAAATAGCATAACAACAAGCACAAAAAATATTAAAAAATCCATATGAAGCCAATTTATGGCGTTTTTTAAGGAAGAAGGTATAGTCTTCAAGAAACGTCAACGACAAGTGACCTTGCACACTGTTCAAAATCAAGCCTTTTGAAATACCTAATCAGAATTAGTTAAGGAAAAATAAGGTAATATGCTTAAACGAGTAAAGCAATTTACCTTCTCGTTTATTAGGCAGAAACGAATGCCTTAGTTCTATATAGAACCATATGGTGTATTCACTAACTTCTAGATAAATATTCATACTTTACTTAATAAACTTGTCAAATTTAAAAAGATAGGCAGATTACCTAAATATTTAGTCAAAATCTCAATTACTTTTAGGTACGACAATTTTGCTTTTAATTTAGGTAATTCTTCTAAATTATTATGGCAAATTATTGAACTAATTTAGGTAAATTCCTTTAAATATTAGTGACTTACTTGCAATCGGCTACAATCTCTCGTCGGTACGTTTTACGATAAATATTCGCGCCTATATTGTCCACCATAATGCCAAAATCAACGAAAGCTTAAAGACCGCGTTGTGTGCTATTGATATAACAACATAGTTAACAATTATTGTGATATAAGTGAACATTTTGTAGTGCTATAGTTAAGTAATCCAAACTAAACGGAATTTCCCATTGACCCCAATATATTTTTAAATAATCCCAACCCTGCAGGGTTGGGATTATTTAAAGGGTTCAGGTACTACATGTAGTACCGGAACCGCCGTTGTTAATTCGCCTAGGACACAAAGATAAAGGAGTCCTAACTTGGAAGAAAATTCCTATGCTAGGATTTTCACTAAAAATATATATAATTTGCCTGAAAACTTAGCTAAAATCTACCTAAAAATTTAAGCAAATTGCCTTAGAAAGAGGAAATTTATTCTTTTATTCTTAGGCAATATCCCTTACGATCTAAGGTATTATCTTTGAAATTTTGCTTAATTAATTATATCATTTTCTTTAAAAATATCAGTTAAAGAATTCACTAATTTAAAAGGGGAATATTCCTCTGAATTCATTTCAAGCAGTTTGCCTATATAGTCTAATATTTTAGGTAAAAATTAGCTAAAATTTTGAACAGTGCACATAATATATTATATTAACTGATTGGGGATTTAACTCGGGGTTTGATATAAAAAACCTTACGGAGATGACGTTACCGCAAAAAATTGCAACAACAATATTTTGAAGAATACAAAAAAAATTGATCCATTTACCGATTTGAAATTTAAAAAGGCAAGGAAAGCATAAATTTAAATAGAAAGAGATGACAAGTTATTCCGGAAAATCGAAAACAATGCTCACTTGCCCTTGAGAAATGTGAAACAAATGATACAGGTTAGGGACAAAAACACGCCTGAAGGGTACCCTGCAACGTTGCAAAAGAAATTTTACCATGTCGCAGCATTTGAACTTGCTTGGATCGGTGGAGAAGCAGTCAAATGTACAACGGATTATTTTAAATAAGAAAAAAAATTAAATGGAATTTTAACGAATATATTAGAATATAATACTATTTTTTAAAAGACCCGAAAAGTAGGTGGAAAGAAGCTTAGCAATAGTAAGTAGCTTATAATTTTCAATTTAAGAGATCCTACAAGCACAAATCAAATTTCTGGAAACACTGCCAATAATCAAATTTCATAATCCAAGAGTAACAGAACTTTATAACAATTGTGTTTTTAATGTTAATACAATGAATATGTAAATTTCTTTCTTATTTATGTTGGTAAATACTTTAATAAATTTTGTTTGTAAAAATATGTTTTTTCTTAATTTTATCCTAGTTATTTATTCATGTTTATCTTCCCATAATACATTTGAGATCAATTTTAAACCTAATAAATTTATTTAAAATTATTTCAAACCTTTTTGCCATTAAAAAATTACTCGAACTAAGGGACATTGGAAAAATTTTTACATGCCCTTAATTCTCGACTATTTTTTATAGCAAAAAAATTGACCTCTTGTGCATTAACCCCCGAAAAACACATTAAATCGTTCCAAGTTTTTCTTATCGATATTTTTAACATTTTCCGGGCTTATTCTATAAAAACACATTTATTAAAAGTTGTATGATTTGTTACGATGGTAACGACCACGTGGTAGCGCTACTAGCGATGTTTTTTAGCGTATAAACAAATATTTCATTAAAAAAAATCAACTTATACCCACAACCTTATGTTTTATTCTTAAATAAAACGCAAAATTCTACAAAAAATTGTATTCATAAATTACAACTACCTATATACAATAACAAATAAATTAGTTCGTAAACATAAAATAAAACTTAATCACAATCAAACTCGGAGAATACTGTTTGCGAGCAAAAAAAAATGCTTCATAATTAATACTTTTTAAATGATAACACTTGTAGCGTCTTTGTTTTTAACGTCCAGCAACGTCGTCGTGGACGTGGAAATTTTGTTGACAGCTTGTGCGTTTCGCGTTCTGTACAATTTGCTGTTCATGAAGTGGAGAGTGTAGATGGCTCCCGCAATGCCCAGCAGACTGCCGGTCAAAACGTCCCACCAGTGGTGGCGGTGATCGACAATCCGGGACAGCGAACAAATGAGGCCCCAGGTCACGCAAACGGCCACCAGGAGGGGTTTCAGAAGACGGCCGGTCTTCTCTGTGGGAAGGCGGCTTTGGATTATGTACTGTAACAAAACAATGAATATTTAGCATCATAAGAGATGAGTTCTTAATATTAATATTCTCTAGTTGTGATTTCATTATGAATTTTTATGGTAATATTCAAATCGATTTTAAGCAAAAATGGTACAAGAGGACCTTTTTTGTGTATAAACCTCCAAAATAAAATAATATGACATCAAATCCTGGGACAAGACACGTACAAAAAATTTAGGGTGATTTTACCCTTGCTCCCTATCTATCTGACCCACCTCTCATGGAAAATTTGAAATTGTATTATATTATTACATCTTATTGGCCATAAATAGTTTGATAAATTCCCAAAATTTCACGTTTCTATCTATAAAGGTATTGGAGATTAAATAAAAACCATCTTCAAGAGTTCCTCTTTCGGGAAGCATTTTTCGACCTATGTTTATAGGATTTTTTTTCTTATTTTTTAGAATCTGCTGTTAAAGTATTGCACGTTAATTATGGGATACCCTATATAATACAGTTATAGGGAGAAGAGACTGATAAGTTCGACATAAATCTTGGATTCAACAAGGGGATAGTCCAAGCCCTCTTCATTTTATCATATTACTATGATGGATCAAATTTAAAAAAAACGTAAAAAAGGTATTATTTAATCGCTTATAAGCTATTGATATTTATAAGATATTGATATTGATATTGATATTTATAAGATATTGATAAACCGGCCCTTATAAGGGCCGGTTTATCAATATCTGGTTAAGTTCTAGTTAGTCTATCTGACAGTTATAACAAGTTTCAACGTTTGAAGCATAATCTCGGACGCTGAAAAAATGGATAGACATAGCTATTATAGCTATTATAGCTATAATAGAGCTAATAAATGTACCGTATATATGATGTAATTAAAACAATATTAGGAAAGAAAGAAATCACTAAACAAAACTCAGGAACGTAAAAAAACAGAAATGAACTACTTAAGAAAAAAGCAAAATGGGTAATGTTAATAAATGTAAATATAAGACAATCATTAGAAGAGGAAGGAAAAATTGAGAAAAGGAGAGTGGGGAGGGTCTGGACACTTTCAAATTTCGCGGTTCCAATAAAAATTTCAGGTTGGTACTACTATTACAGATCGTCAAGTTGGTAAGGTATCAAATAGTGGTAGTGAAATAAGTTTGAGTTTAGCTGTAGAAGAGGTAAGTGGAAAAGTTTATTTTCGAGATATTTCATGTAATTTTTTACTGTCCCCTTGTAAGCTTTTCTGCCCAGACCGTTGTAGGTAAATAATTTAATACATATATTTAATACATACAAGCATGTATAAAACGTGGAACTTTTGTTATATCCTTACTTTATTCCGTTGCTATATTTTGAAATTATAAACATTTTTGTTGTTCCACATCATGTAGGGAGTTTGGACACACTGTCTAGAGTCTTCCTCTATTGTCCAAACATCGTCCCGGCACTTCGTTAGCAGAATATTGCAAAAATTAAACCGAGGATATACAGTCAAATTCCTTCCAAGGCAGTTTACATCATACAGATTTAAAGAAACAGATGAAGATGAAGCCTTTGTGGATTTTAAGGACGTGGTATTGGTTCTTCCCCCCCCACTAACGGAGTTCGATTCCATAACATGATTTACTTTAATTTTGATTTTTCGCAATTTAGTATTGTATAAGTTTTGCACTGATTTTTTCAATAAAATTCATAAATTTATAATATTTTTATAGTGTCCGAATACGCTGTCCAGAATCTCCCCGTATGTGGGGTGAATTTGGACAGATTTTCAAAAACTCGTAGCAAACCCATCTTACGGTTTAAAGCGCACATATTTATCTGCGTTTTCAGAAGTCAACACTATTAGCTGAAACTTTGAAATTAGAAATAATTACATTTTTAAGAGACCCAGGCAAAAAAATCTAAAAATTGTCCAATGTCTACCCACTTGGATAAGAGAAAATGTACTAGTAAAGAAATAGGTGCAATCTGGGAGACCATACAAATTATGGATTAACATGTAAAGGAAATTGGCGCAAAAAGAGGAAAGACATTAGATAAACTACGTACAATGGCTAGAAATATATTGGAAAACTGGATGATATCCAATAACCCGACGCCTTGAGGGAAAAAGGGTTTTCCGTCAAAGAAGAAGAAGAAGAAGAAATAAGGTTTTTATTAGGCCCGCACACGGTTCGATCTAAAATGAATTAAGAGTTTAGTTCTGCAGATTCGAAATTATCTAATTAAGGTATTGAATTTGAATAAAATCTAAATTGAGGCCTGTCATAGCAAAACCGACAATCTCCACTTTTGGTCAAAATAAGATTTTTGGCGGAGACTGTACTTCAACTAATTATCCATAAGATGATAAAGTTTATGTGCTGCAAAAGGAGCTAAATCCTGCCTAAAATCCTATTTTAAAAATGACATTTAGTGCAAAGTCGACAATCTCCACTAATAGATTTGCAGCAAAGTATACAATCTCCAATTCCACCATTAGAAATTAGTAATTTGTGTCACCTGATATCCTAACATTTGTTGTTATAACGTATTTTAGAGATTTAATTTTGTGTTTCTTTTACTGGTACATACTGTTAAGTTCTATTGCAGTAAATTGCACTTATATATTTAAAATAGGTATATATACGTTTTATTGTTTTAAGAATTATAAAAAAAGTTATCTTGTTTATTTTGTGCTATTATACCATAATAAGACGTAAAGGTAAAGCAAGAAAAGGCTGATAATGTCAAAACATTGCAAGTAAAACATTACGGGGCAAAGTGGGAAGAAGATGATGAGTTGTACTATAAAAACTTTTTTGCACGAGGCAACCTGGTCCCAGATTTAGAAGAAACTCCAGATTTATGTGGTCCAGTTCAGAATTTTCCCACATTGATTGTATAGTTAAATTTTATAACCATTAAAGGAAAAAAATACAGTTATTTTTTTGTTTATTTTTCTAAATCTCCTTAAACGTTTACAACAAAATGAGCAATCTCCAATTTATAATTATAGATTTCACCTATACTATGCATCCTGGAGACCTTGTAGTTTGCTACTGGACTAACAACAACAATATTTCAATATAATATATAAAAAAATTACAAATCTAGAATTTAAAATACCAAAATCAATTATCTCAATTTACTCAGTTTTAGTCTGAGGGGAGATTGATGACTTTGCTCTGACAGGCCTCAATTAAAAATGTAAAATACTTACGGCAGAAAACAAGGCGGCAAACCAGCCAACTGAAGAGTGTCCCGACGGAAACGATCTGGATGAATCCACCAGAAAGTACCTGGTGTATCTTTCGTTGGAGCACGTGTAACTTTCCACGTACGTTCCGTTCTGGCAGAGTTCGTTTTCAATTGGCCTGCAGACATCGAAAAAATGCGGCCTGTGTTCTCCGACCAGAATTTTTCCCAGCTCGGTCACCATGAGCACGAAGCACTCGCCGATGAGAAATTCTTTGTAGAAAATCCAAAAGTCCCGCAATTTTACGGAGCCGTGCTTCAAAAGTTCCACCAGTACAATCACAAGGAGAGGCACTAACACAGTCCCTATTAGCAGTGTGGTCATCGTGATGGTATCACCGGTATATTTGTGGGACAAAATGGGATCTCTACAAGTGAATCCCAGTTTGTTCCCCGGTATGTATCCATATTCGATGAGATACAACAACGGCACCACTGAAAATAAAATAAATGAATCAGTTCAAGTCGCAAACATAACTAATATACACAAATATTCAAAACATTCCCTTAGTCAATATGGGGTTTGGTATACCATAAACAGTGCAAAGCTTTACTAAGCTTGTTACAGCGTGTTTTGCAAATAAAAACACTTACACATAAAATACCGGTTGATTCTCATCGTACATCGATGATTTTTTTCCACTCCGTTATACCTAGTTGAAAGAGAAAACCTAAATTACATCAAACGTGATAATTTTGAATAAATGAGGAAAAATAATTACTATATGATGAATACAATTCTCCCATCGTTTTTTTTTGTTTGGATGAGTATTTTTTATATAAATTAAGTCATATTTCTATAGATATATGATTTAATTTATTGGTTGTTTGGCGGTCGTATGGTAATGTATGGTTTTAACAAAAAACACTTTTATGTTTTTTTTAATAATTTCCATAAATTAATCAAAATATTAATGGGTATGGTTAAGAAAATACGCAATGTTTATAAATACCAATGTGTGTATTGTTTTAATAGTATATTATGTATCAACTTTGATAAACGCCATTTTATACAGTAATTTAATTTAGGCACGAGCGAGCTTGCGAGCGAGTGCTTAAATTACGACAAATACTTATTATTATCTTAATTTAAATAAAAAAATTGTATAGAGCGCCATCTATGAAACAATAGGGGAATCTGTGTGTCACCGTCAAATGTTACATTTTTATATTTTATAAACACAGATTACCTATAAAGTTTATAAATCGAAATGTATTTCTTGAAAATTGACAGTTTTTCATAATGAAAGTAAAGAAAATGTTTTATGAGGACTTTACAGTAGAGTCCGTGCCCGAATTTAAGTTATAGTGTACTGCCGAGGAAATTAAAAGGTAATTACAATGTTCGTATAAACTTTTTAAATATTGGCGTTAAGAAACTATTTAATACGTTTGTATTTTTGTATTGAGATAATAAAATAATTTTCACATTTAGTATTATTTTACAAGAAAGGCACTTTATTTTAACGATTGTATGACATTTCATAACTGTCAACTAACTTAAAACTAACTTCAGCCCGTGACTAAAGCGCCATAAAGCCACAACTTGTCAATGTGTATTTAAAAGGTCACTTAGTGTCATGGAAACATGTACGTTAAAGGGCGTTTTAAAGGTGGTAGTAGAAAAAATATATAAATGCCCCTGGAAAAAAAGATATACCTAGTTGGCTAACAAAATATATGGAATATTATTTTGTTTAAAGTTTATTTATTTGCCCATTTTTTATTTTATTGTGTTAACTATCCATGCTATGTCCATTAGTATAGATATTACAATATTGATTTGATACTGATAATATCTAAAGTGACCAGATTCTGTCAAAAAATAGAGGGACATTTTGTGCAAATTAACCTTAATTACAAAAATGACATAATCAACAATAATTAAGTAACGTCAAATTTACAATTTGCATTGTATCATTGTGTCAATTTTGTAATTAAGGTAAATTCATACAATTTTTTGACAGAATCTGTTCAATTTAATAATATCATATTATGATTTTGATATTGATAAATCACGTCGGTTTGTGCGTTTCAGCAAAGGGAAATTCGCACAGTGGGATAAACTGAAAAAATGGTAGGACAAATTTGCACAGTAGTTCAAAATTAAAAAATAGTGGCCAAGTTGTTGACACATCCTCCCTGCTCTCTAAAAATGATTAGTCAAAAATGACTAATTAATACAGTTCTTTGTGGCTGCTTTTTCACTTATACCATGGTTAATAGCCAATTTTTATGTAAAATTGTCTCCTGAATCTGAAAATTATGAAAGTAGAGCAGTTTTTGAGATATAGTCAATTCCATATTATAAGAAAAATTGACTATATCTCAAAAACTGTTAAACTTTTGACGACATTTTCGGATTCAGGGGACAATTTTACATATAAATTATTTGCTAAATGTTCAGAGTGCAAATTGCTATTGACGATAATTATTAGTGGCTGCTTTTTCGCTATGACAATTAGTCATTTTTGACTAATTAATTTTTAGAGAGTAAGTACAATGGCACTTAATTTATATAGCTAATAAATAACTTAATTTCATGCGATACTTAGGAAGCATAGCTTCTGTCGTGCGCCAAACCTGTTTTTTAAGACGTTTCAAAAAATAAAAAGTTAAATTTGTTAATAATAACAAAGTTGGAATAATTTAAAAAATTAATTTTTTGACTCAAACTGTAAGAAAATACACCATGATACCTTGTTTATTTTGTTTGCATATTATTAACAACCATTTTACATGGCTTTATAACTGAAAAACTACCTACGTGTCGAAAAACAATTTGTCATTTTCGGAATACCCTGTATGTACATTTCCAATATTGCTATGAGACCCCAACAATTTCCCCATTTTTATGTTTCGTGGAAAATAAATCAATAAAATTTTGTTGGGTAATGATGAGTCATAGATTTAAATACACACACAAGGCATTCAATATTAAATAAATTTAAAAATAAGTATAGTATAGGTAGGAGAGTAAATAATATTAAGAAACGACATTTTATCTGAATACACACCCCTTTGGCAGAATGCAAAAATAAAATAAAACACAAAACAAGCTGTCGTGAACGTAAAATAGTGCGTAATAGTAATTAAATTTACCTATTGCTATAATTAAAATATTGATGAAATGTTGCAGTCGAAATCTAGGAAGTCTACATCGTATCCTTGGCACAGGCGCGTTTGGGGCTTTGCTGTCGTTTATAGTGATTGTCGTCATGTGCCTCGGTTGTCTTCCAGATGGCGCTGCAGTCTCGTTCATCACTTTGTTGTCCTGCAAAGAAAAATTGAAAATGATAATAGCGAATTTTGGTTTTAATTTAAATAGGGTTTTGCAAAAATGTGGTGTTTGTATAAGCATTTCTTAAGGATTAAGTCATTATCTATTGTGAGTTGTTTTACAAAAATGTAGACAAAATTTAAAACTTTATTGTTTTACAAAAATGTTTATTTGACTTTAACCAGGTTTGGGATCTAAAATTTCTAAGGAAAAGCAAAGGTGCAACTTGCCCCTATTTTTTGAAGAGTACAATAGGAGTACAGTGAAAATTGGAGTAACAATTTTTTTATTATAACACTCATAAGCATATAAAGAAAGATTCATATTTGTACGCCGTTTAAATGTCAAAATATTATACACCGCCGTACAATAACAAAAATACATTGAAATTACATAGGAAGAGTGTTTCCATCTATCGCGTTTAGTTCTAAGTGCGGAATACATTCATGTACATAACCTATAATATAACATATGTCAAATGTCAAACCTGACAAAATGTCGCATACTCGATAATTTTAATGTAAGTAAATGTTAAAAAAATAGTATATACAACACGGCGGAGAAAGCATTTTAACTGCCTCGCTCAGATCTGCAGCCTCGGCTAAGATAAGATAATGTACTATTTTCTACTCCCATAGCATATTATTGACATAACGCGCGAAATTTAAAAGGTTTGTTCATATCTTCACGTTTGTAGCTCCGTGTGGAAGCGTTTCTGGACATATTATGTTTATTATACTAAAATGCTTCTTTCGACTTGTACCATCATGTGCACATACCTAGTTTTTTCGTACATTCGAATTTAAAAAAGTAGATCATCCCTCTAAATAGGGATCCGAAAGTCAAAAATATGTTTAAATATCTCCCCCACCTCTCTATTAGTTTACCAAAATTCCACATTTTTTTAAACCGTTTTCGAAATATCGCACATGTGCATTTTTTTAAACCGTTTTCGAAATATCGCACATGTGCATTTTTTTAAACTGTTTTCGAAATATCGCACATGTGCAAAATACAGTTTTTGGATTTTGAAAAATATACTAACAAAAGATTTAGGTTTTAAGGTGTATTTCACATTAAATATTTTATTATACTGCTAAACAGCTATGCTATGCTATGTGTTTTTGCTAAACAGCTATGCTATGCTATGTGTTTTCAGAATACTAATATTCACAGCATTATTTGCCAAATAACTTTTGATGATTTGGTGATTATTTTTGAAATTTGTTAAATATTACATCTACTGTATTATTAATTAATAAATAAATTAAAGTAAATTAATTTATAATTATTGTATATTCTCAACCAAGTCAAACTAATAGTTATTTATGTCATTAGGTCAAAAAGTAACTCTTTTTGGTCTTAAAGTTTAAAGGCCGAGGCGTTATTAAAAGTAAATAATGAACTTTTACTCCCTAGGCTGTAAAAACCTAATTTAGTTTAAATAATTTGTGTCCAAGCTTTAATAAATGTTAAGTACCGAGTGTTGACAACAATAAAGTTTAACTACAAAAAACGTAAAACCCAATCATAATATGTTGACCCTTTTGTGATAAAGCCATCTGACAATCTTTCACACTAAGAAATATTAAAACAATAAAATATAGTTAGAAAATAATAGTAGTGCCAACTATAATTATCATTATACAAGTCAAATGTAAAATAACTCTTATCGTTACTTTAACTATATCTTTTTGGTTAAAAAGATTGGTTAGCTTTATTATAAATAGATATATCATAAATTGGTAATACCTATACATTTTTAAAATAATTCTGACAACCACAATAAGTGGTCGGTGAATCGATTATTATAATTTGTGGTTATCGGTGCGGTGCGCAAGTCAAGGAAATTATTTTAATAAAATTATTTTTTTATTATAATAAAAAAATAATTTTATTAAAATTATTTCCTTGACTTGCGCACCTATAGGTAGTTGGGCATTAAAATTGTTTTTTATCGATTCTCAAATTATTAAAGGTGTATCCTGTACCTATAATCATTAAAAAAATTGTTAATTTTATATTTACAAAAAACCGTTTTTGTTAAATAACGTATTTATTGGTATATTATGTATCAAGTTTGATAAAAGCCCATTTTAGACACGAATTTAATTTAATTAAATTGATTAAACGTGTGTCTACAAAATTTTATAAACAAAATGCATACCATACTTTTTCTTCTAAAAATACTAGGTATAATTAATTAATATAATTAATAATAATAATAGTTTATAAGTTATCATTATTCAAGTTAGTAACTTAGGAATCTGTATTACCGGCGCGCCGATCAATGGACTAACCACCGGTTAAATTCGATTTAGAAGCAGTTTTCTGCAGTAAAACTGAGTCTCCTCCCGAAATTTTTAATGGTTATTTAGTTAAATATATGTAGTTTACTGCCGGCGAAATCAAAACGTTTCAAATATTGGCGTTGAAAAACTATTTAACACTTTTGTATTTTTTTATTAAATAAAATTAAATTTTAGATAATAAAATAATTTTGTAGTAATGATTTTTCAAATTTTGACGATATTTTTTTACTTTTCGGCCATTTTAAGCCCGCGAAACGCACAAATTACAAAACTGTTTTTATAAAAAAAATTGTAGATAATTTATTATGGGTCAGTCCATATCAAATCAACCAAAGGTTTTTCCCTCACCCTCTCCGATTTTAATAATTTTTGGTAAATTTGTTTACCTCACTAAAAAACTCAAAAATCTCAAATTTGAATTTTTTTCGATAGGTGGTTTTTGTTTTATTGATTTTTGAAAATCAAAAAATTACCGATTTGGGTCTTGCAAGTACTTACAAATATAGCGATATCTCGTAAACTATTAAACTTAGAAAGGTGAGTGATGGCTTATTTTAAAGGCCTATTAGATACCTTTTTTTTGATATATCACATGACCTAAATTTCTTTCAAAAAAAAATTTTTAATTTCGAAAAAAAAAATTTTTCTTAAATCTCAAAAATACCTTGTTTTATTTTTTTCAAAAAAATATATATTTTTTGTGCACATTTTGATAAGCTATGTTCAAAATTTCAAGATGGACACTCAACGGGTTCATGGTGAAAAAAATTATAAAGGAACTCACTAACATACAAAATAATATTTATGGGTCATTTTACTCCAAATAGTTGATGAGTTTGATTTTGTACCTTTGATTTTTTCACTTTTTTGCAGTCGCACGGTGGGCTGGGATACAAATCTAACTGGACAAAATTAGTTAACTAATTTTGTCCAGTTAGATTTGTATCCCAGCCCAGCAAACACTTGGTCACAAGTTACGTCATATTCACCCTTAACATCACGTCAAAATCACGTCTTTAAAACGGGCAAATGTCACAGGCCGTTGACGTAATATTAGGACGTACAAACAACGTCATTTGCCGTAAGTACTGACGTCTTAAAGACGTACAATAGTTGTCATTTATTGTAATAAATAAAACAAGGAAATATATTATAAATGTCATTTATTATAAAATATAAATAAATAAATAAAATATAAATTCTAAATAACAAACTTAATAGAGTAGACCCATCCCATAAATCGAACATTATGGATAGCTCGAGCTATCATTGGCTTCTTCACCATTTTTTAATGCCTTGTCGTATTTGCACTGTTGTTTATAAGGTGGCCAGTAAAGTTCTTTTCCCCCGTCATGACGCGTCACCACGTACGTTCGTCGTGTGCAAACTCAACTACGACGTACATCTTTTAAACACCTAGTATAGGTATATGTAAATAAATTAAGAATGATTTAATAATTATGTAAAACCTACCTATTGATCCGCAGTTACTGCACTTAATTGTAGATTTGCACAACAGTTATTAATTAACTTAATTTAACCGAATAACAGAATAGACGCCACCGCGGTAGTGCACCGTTGCAAAGCATGGACGGTTAGAAATGATAAAGCAATCGCAGCTTGCCACTAAAGTCAGCTGATCTCACAGTGGTCAGCTGACTGTGAATCACAGTCTGTGATTGGTGGTATCGAGCACGGCGTTCTTTACTTCCCGCCATGTATCGACACTTCACAAGTTACACAAATTTTTGTCTGTTTTTTTTTATTCGGAATAATATAAATACCTATATAGGTATTGACAGCAATGAAATTGTAAAACTAAATTAAGAATTAAAAAATACTTTGTTTAAAATAGTATTTCGTTACTGTCTTGTAGGATAATTATTTGTTCATAGACGGATTTGCGTGTCATCGATGATAGGGATTTTTTTTTATTTTTTCTGATAAAAAAATAAATTTGGTCTACAAAAAAATTGGGATTTTATCTACAGGGTGTTCAAAAATTAGGTAGTACGATCTATACCTACTACGTACGTATTATTATATATTTATTACGTGATATAAAATCACCAATTGAAAACGTCAGAAAGACGCAACATAAAAACATCTAAATGACGGAAATGTGACGTCATAAACCCGTCTTTTATTGGTCATGTGACGTCGCCGACGAAAGGTGACCTTAAAATATCGTCCTAATGACGTAACCTTGCTAGCTGGGTTACTCCCTCAAAAATTAGCAAAGCCATATTAACCGCATATTTAACTTAAATAAAAATAAAAAATATTTTAATAGTGCTTTGCTAATTTTTGAGGGAGTAATTAATTTTTTCCAGTTAGATTTGTATCCCAGCCCACCGTGCAGCTGAACAAAAGTGAAAAAATCATAGGTACAAAATCAAAATCAATTATTTGGAGTGAAATGACCATAAATATTAATTTTTTGTAGGTTAGTGAGTTCCGTTATATTTTTTTTCACCATGAACCCGTTGAGTGTCCATCTTGAAATTTTGTACATAGCTTAACAAAATGTGCACAAAAAACATTTATTTTTTTGAAAAAAATTAAAAAAGGTATTTTTGAGATTTAAAAAAAAAAATTTTTTTTCGATATTAAAAATTTTTTTTTAAGAAATTTAGGTCATGTGACATATCATAAAAAATGTATATAAAAGACCTTTAAAAC